GGACTTCAGGACGTGATAGCTCGTCCAAAAATATGAAAAAACGTTTCTCTTAACTTACCCTCTAAAATGCACCATTTTCGAGATTCAGGGTGTTGAAATTGAAAAAAAAAATTCTACGCCACTGGAAAAAGTACGGTTTTGAGACGTCCATTTGAACCGCCAATGTTTTCTACACAAAAAAAGGTACTCTTGGTCATACGCTGTAAAGTCGACCGTTTTCGAGAAAAATCAAATTTTGTTTCATCAAGTAGGTTTTAAATTTCAAAACAACATTAAAATTTGTTTTTTCTCGAAAACGGTCGACTTTAGAGCGTATGACAAAGAGTACCTTTTTGTGTAGAAAACATTGGCGGTTCAAATGGGCGTCTCAAAACCGTACTTTTTCCAGTGGCGTAGAATTTTTTATTCAATTTCAACACCCTGTATCTCGAAAATGGTGCATTTTAGAGGGTAAGTTAATAGAAACGTTTTTTCATATTTTTGGACGAGCTATCACGTCCTGAAGTCCTGCGCATATCTTATGAAACACACTGTATATTAGTTTTGTTAGATCTAGACTTGAGTATGTGTCAGTTGTATGGAATCCATCACTTAACATTTATAGTAGCGCTATTGAAAAATATGCAAAGAAAATTTATGAAGTCCGCATCATATCTTCTAGACAATATCTATCCTGCTAGAGGATTTCCTCATGATTAACTGTTGTCGCGCTTTGGTTTAATGGAACTGCACATACGCCGTAAAATGCAGCTAGTTTCATTCCTATGGGATATTTTACATGAAGGGCTAAACTGCATTGAGTTTCAGGATTATATCAACATTAAAGTACCTTGCCCTGGCCTTAGAATATACTTAAGATTTTACTTGCCAGCTGCAAATGCAAATATTTTGAACGGTTCTCCAATTTTTCAAATGATCAATAATTATCATCGCCTTCAAGACAGTTTGGATATTTTTATTTGTAAGAAAATAGATATTTTTAGAGCTATTACCATAGAAACTGAGTAGGCGTTTATCCTGCTTGGTAAGTTGATAATATATCTTTTGTGTCTATTTATTTTAATTTAATTTTAAAAAAATTTTAAATTTGTTTTATGTTCCTTTATGAACTTAAATATAACTGAATATTTTACCTTCAGTTTTCCTTAAAAATAGGCTTTATTGTACTTCTTATTTGTTTCATGTTTATCTGATGTTCTTAACTCGTTTGTGATGTATATCATTAGTATATTGTATTTGTTTTTAATTTATGTTCATCCCACTCTGTAATTGGTTTTTAACTGTTGAGTGGTGTACTAAATAAATAAATAAAATATATATTTATATCAGAAATAAAAAAATACATTTTCTCAGTTTATAGAAATTTTTATGTTAAGTATGAACAGTATAATGTACTTAAAAACAGAATAAAACAACCTAAAAGTTTTTATAAACATGTGTAATAAGTTATTGAGATACAGGGTGTTGAATTTTCTGTAATAAAAGAGCTCTGACTGTTAAGTTAAATTTTTTGATAAAGCCACTGGTTCTCAAAACTAATACAAATGAACGTTTATTCCAAGTCTCCTTTGAAATTTTGACAATTATTATAATGCTATTGTTTTCCTGTGTTCAGTTTTAACTTTTTGAAAATCGCTGTGTTTATTAATGCTGAAATGGCTAATAAGCATTTTTTTATATGAATTAGCCAATAGTAATGCAATGAAATCCATTAGACGTCGATTGGAAGCTTGCATTTTAGCTAGAGGTGCACATTTTGAACATCTGTACTACTTTTTATATCTTAATTACAATTATTAAAAAAAAAAATCAACACCATGTATCTCAATAACGACAAAACTTATCACGCGTGTTTATAGGAACTTTTAGTCTTGAAAATGAAATAACGAATGGCCCACAACAATATTTCAGATTACTTTGGAAACACCATGTATCAAAAATTATAATATTAAATACTTGAAACAAAATGTATTAAAATAACAAAATGAACTCAATTACTGCCGATTATTTTCAATACAGTATTTTCAATATTTTTTAAACATGTATGCAGTGGAATTTCACAAATTAGGTTTTTATTTAATGAAATTAAGGGTCCTGTTTATCGGACTATATGCACATTATATTAATGTTATATTATGGAATAAATAATAAATTAAGGACCACTCTTTAATGTATTTTAATACAATAATAGCTTAATCCGCTTCATGACATCTGGCATATTCTTGGCTAAAAATAACTTCACTAATAGCGTCTTCGAATCTAGTGCACAGCTTGCACTGAGTGCATACGAAAGGTGGGAGATATGTCAATACCAGTTATTTTTCAATCTGAAATGTAACCGCTATCGATATATCACTCCTCTTTTATGTGTATTCTACGCAGACAGGGCAGTGGAATCGAAGACGCTATAAGATATTTTAAATGCACCTAATCAAGCCGACAACACTGTTGGTTACATACCCTTACTTTGCACTTAAAAGGTGGTTACTACTACTGACCAATAGGCCTTTTCATCACAATTTTGTTTTGTTAGCATGCGTCGGTATCAGCTATCTTTTTGGTACTGTTTTTTTTGTAAACAAGCATGTTAAAATGTCCACGTGGTAAAAATTATAATCGATAAATATTAATTTTAGTATTCATTTAAAAAAAGGAAGAAAAAAAAAAGTAAAGTAATAAGGCCTTAATTGAAAAATACATTTTTGCAATCAATTAATTATATTATCTGTACGGAAAGAAAAAACAAAACGATATTGTTATGGAGTATGTAAAAGTGACACGGTATAATTCATTCAAATGTAATACATTATTATTTTATAAATTTTCCAAAGATTTGGCTGCAATATCGTAAAAAAAAACGATCAAATCATTAGGCAAAATACATATTAAAACATGTTAGAATAATAATTCAGTAGTGTACCTATTTGAATAAATAAATAAATAAATGTTGAAAATGAGCATTATGGGTGAAAAAATGTGGTTGAAGTGACAAAGGTTTTCGATTGACGATGTTACTAAAAATACTTATATTTGTTCACTACATTTTCATGGAGAAAGTGGTTCAACAGAAGAAAAACCTTATCTGGTATTACACAATATTTTTTTAATAATTAATACTACTTCAGTATACACAGTAATATTATTAAAAATGTCATGTTGATCATTAAAATATTAAATAATTTATCTTATTAATTAGAATAGAGTTATAATTATTATTTGTTTTCATTAATTTTTTACACAGTAAACAAGTATTGAAACCTAACCTCTCAATCAGTAAACTTTTTTCCTTGTTCCGAACATCCACGACACTTCAAGCGCCTTTTCAATTGCTCACAACTATGTGCTTCCACAGATTTATAAAAATGTAAATCACCATCAACGATTTTTTCTAATGATTTATTTGTATGTAGAGATAGAACAGAAGTAAAAGTTGGAAATGCTTTTGCCAGTTCTCCCACTTTATACACATGAATTGACAGGTTGGCACCGGATCTCACCGAAGTGGACGCGATACATTGGCGTACAAAATTATTTTATAGATTTTAATAACAATTTCGAGTAAATAGTTTAATAAATTGTGAATAGCTGTTGAAATTTTGTAAAATTATAATTTGAATATTATAATACACGTTTAATAATTATTTATAATCCATAAATACATGCGATTGTCCGGTTCCGCCGATAACAATTTAAAATTACTTATTCTATGAAACGACACTGGCAGGTAAACATTACTGTGAAATTCTCGGAGCCGCCCGACGTGGTTTGACGTTTACCCCCTCTCTACCTACCAAAAGACTTTTCAACTTTTACTTTCTCTATAATATTGCTTTTCCAGCCAAAACAGTACGAAACTTTTGAATTGGCTTGCGCTCATTACATGATGAAAATGCCTATTATTTTCTTTTCTTATCTAATGTTTATTTTATATTTTGTTTTTATTATTGGATGTAGAGGAAAGGATGACAATCTTCTATGGTTGTCTAAAAAGTGTCCACCAAACGGCAGTAAATAAGGTTTCAGAAAGTTGCCATAATGGCGCTTGTATACTAGAATGATATGATCCAATGATATAATTATATAGATTGCTCATCCATTTATAAATCGATGATGAAAAGCTTAAGTAATAAAGAGATAAATACATGTTATTTTATTAATTAGAGGATTTAAACAAATGTATAAATTAATTGTAAAAAAATACAATTTAGACTAACACAAACTCCAAAATCAAAATAACTTTATTTATATATTTAAAATAATATTAGTACTAATTTTGTTAGATAAAATGTCTTCACTTTTGTCATGCCACATTATGGTCGTATCATCAGCAAAAATAGTAAATAATCCATTAATATTGGGTAAGTCAGTAATGTACAATAAAAAAAGTAGCGGCCCTAGAATAGAATATAGCCTTGAGGTACACCACTATCAACCAAACGATAATCTGATGTATAATTCTTAATCACCACACTTTGAGATCTGTACGATGAAGTTCAGAAGTTTTTTTTTGTTGCAATTATATATTTAATAAACTAGGGTGATATTTACTTTGAATAATCATAAGCTTCCTTCCAATTAAAAAATTTGTAATAATAAAAGATGTGAAAAGTGAGATATATACTATAACACCAAAATTTTTGTGAAAGTTCAATAAAGTAAGAATGTATCATTTTAATATTACACTTATTTTAAGTTAATAATTGTGAGGTTATCCTCCATATCTTTTACACATGAGTTAGCAATCTATATAAATATATAGACATAGTGTGATCTGAATATCGACTCTTACAACTTTCGGCAGTTTCAAACGGTATTCTGGTACAGTAATGCCATCTTAATTTCATACATTTTGAGGGACACTTTTTTGTTAACAGATAATTCTCCTTGCCTCTGCACTCCATAGTTTTTATGTATTTAAATGTGTGGTTTGCAATAACAAATACCCAAAATATTTAATACTAAGCCTAAATATTCAATTTTTATTATTTTTTTTTTTTCAGTACTAAGGGGGGCACTTAATGGTCCTACTCCAGAATTTTTACAATCTCTGATGCAAATGGCTGGACAAATCATAAACAGAAACATCCAAACTACAGGCGCTTCTGCTCCTGGAAGTGAACCTGCTCAACCCGCATCAACCCAGTCCACTCAAAGTACTAGTGCAGGAGCCCAAGCACAACCTGTTGCTGGTCAAAATTCGCAAGCACGTGGCAATACTCAAACAAATCCAACTACTTCAACCTACACCAGATCTACGCCAAGACCACACGTTCATTTGGCTCAACAAGCCATGCAAGGTACCTACTTAGGAAATATATTGTAGCAGCCTAAATTCGATTTTTGTAGATATTTGTTTACAGTTCAAAAAGAAACCAGTAAATTTAATTTTTAGGTGGTTTTGATCCTTTCCTTCCCTGCAACTCACATCACATTTCAAGACGTGGCAGAATGCAAGCCCAGCAAACACCAATAATAAGTGCCTCAGCGTCCTCCAATCAAAATTCAGCACCCCAACAGCCAAGGGAAGATAATGCTTCAGGCGACCAGAGAAATGCTAGGCAAAGTTCCAATATCCTAAACTTCATAAATGGTATATTTGATTCTATTAGATCAGAACAAAGAAGAGGAAACGAAAATGACCCATGGGGTTCACCTAATGTCTCAAATAATTCTGCTAATGGTGATAATACATTAGGCGGTTTTAATTTGGCATCTATTGGATCAATATTAAATCTGCAAGGAGGATTGGTAAGTTTAACAAAATTGATTTTAACTGCATAAAACGATTTCTATATTGTTTTGTCATAGATAAAATTTAAAACCATACTATCTATTAAAAGTAATTCTCGAGGAGTGGCTCAGTATTTAGAAGACTCTTACCTACGGTGGTTTCGTAAATACTTTCACTTCTATTTATTATATCCTGTTTAATTTAAGAACTGTTTGGCTAACATATGTGGCAACTTGCAGATAAGATATGAACAATCACCACTAATATGTACATAAACTCTATACATATCTGTCCAAATCTTTCAACACCGTTTGTCATTCCTTGATGTTAGATAAATTGAAAAAGATGGATATTATTGGCAACTACATAAAGTTTATTCTTTTCTATTTATTTGTTTGTTTATATTCTCCAGTAATGACATTGACAACTTGTTTTATTCACTCTAGTTGATTCCTTTATACAGATGACCTAACTTTTTATTTTAAGTTGTAAGCTTTCATAAAACAGCTAATACAATCGTGCATGATTATGTCATTATGAGATATGGTGGTTAAATGATCTTGTCTGTTTTGACAAAGAAACAAACACATGTATGGTACAGCTGCTCTGAAGAGTCAGTGATTTGGGCTCCTAATTGTTGTATTCATAAATTGGAGGGTGCAAAATAAATTTTTTGAAGTACCTACAACCAAAAACTGCAAACTGAGAGAAGCCAGAAACTTTGCGGAAGAAATTTCATGACAGAGTGGTACGTGTGGAACGAGCTTTCAGGAGAAGTCGTAACTTCAGGCACCAAAAACAAAAATCTCTGGATATGCTGAGCCTGTGATAATCTCTTTTGATGAGATATATTGTGATAAAAAAAAACTGATATCATTTATTTAATTTTACTGTGAATTTAATAGCAGCTAATCGGCATTGCCTGCTGTACTAACTACGAGTATAATAATAAAATAAAGATAGTAATAATATAAACATAGACTTACATCGCAATACATAGATTACCAAGCCAGAATTCTGTTGACATAGAAGTTTGGAATGTGGGAGTCAAGAAGCATTGCTTTGTTAGTTGTATGTCTCGCGAAGTAAAGATTATATCAGAAAATACTTAAAATGGTATATAGGTTACCAAAACAAAATCCAGAACTTATCCCCAATCAACCCCCTGTGCACTACCTACCTCAACAAACAGCAACCCTAATTGTCCTACATCATTGGAAAGCTATTAAAAAATTTTTCAACGATATAAGTTATACCCTATGCAGAGTGGTACATAATTATTAAAAATATATTTAAAAAGAAAATGCCATGTTTATCTGAATTAAATATTTTAAAATATTTCTAGTCCAGGAGTACAAAGGGTGAACAAAAACTACAGACAAAATTTGTTTGTAGACCAACAAGTGTCTAATTACAACAAATATTCAGATTGTGATCTTTAAAGCGTCAACTTTCACATTGCTGGCTTCAATTTTTAAATTGTGAAAATTTTATTATTTTATCATATTCCGTTTATTTTTATTTTTTTTTTATTCTTTAAATCGTTTATATATTATGGTAGTGTACTGTAAACAAATTTTGTATTGTTACTTAGTATATTATATTTTATCTATAAATATGTTGTAGGTATAAAATAGTGAATACATATATCTATCTATCTTAAATATTGTTAGTTACAACCTTGTTCCGAGCATTCAGTTGTTTAACTCATTCATTTATATTGATATTTTACATTTTCTATGCAGTTCACTTATATCTGTAAAAAACGTTCAACAGTTCCATTAATGTCAAAGAGGCAATTACCAGTTGCTGACGCAATCAATCATTGGGTCAAATTCTGTAAAATGTTAAATGTTTTTTCCGTATTCTGTAAGTGCAAATGTCAAGCAATAATTAGCATATTGCATTTGATAGAAAATATTCAGGTGTGTGTGTTAAAATTCCTCTTGATTTTATGATTCTATTTCATTTTGACAGATTTTCGCTTTGATATTTGTTGTTATATATTGATTTTTCCAATTGTTGTTTTAAAACTATTTTATGAAATACACATAACTTCCAAGTAGGTTCCGTATTTTTTTATGAATAAAAGTAGTTTCTTATAAAACTAACACATATTACGAAACTTCTTTCATCTTCATCTAGAAGTGTGTACAATAAAAGTGACTATTTGTCATTAAAAACTAGAAAAAATCTCACAAAATTCTCTGTTATCTAATAAAATGTCAGCCAGTGATAATGTTATTTAAAATGTCAATGTTAATTAACAAAATGTAGCAAAAAACTTTAAATGAATTAAAAATAGACGTTCCAAATAAATTAAAAAAAAATTGTTCTGATATTGGAAACTGACCTTAACTTTTTGCTAGACTTAGTGCCTAATAAAATATAAAAATTAGATACAAATATGCGAGAGTCCATCAAACCAAGAGAACACTTGGGTTTTAACCACAGGATGTGTTTTGTTTTTTTACTCTATCTCGTATAAGTTTTCGATTTTATTTGCCACCACTTCTGAATTCTTTCAAAAATATTTATTAAAAGAACGGTTTCGTCCTTGGCCCACCCACGTTTTCCTTTCATTTCCAAACTTGCACTATTCACTTGCACAAAAACTTTCAGCAAGGTTGAAATAAATTTGTACTTCCTAGAGCGCTCTCCCCGAATTGTTTTGACGGGCAAGCGATTCCGGCTGCAATCACTTTCCGCAATTTTTCGACTTCCTCTGACAAAGAATTATCAGACAGTGTTTACATTACGCAAATTATTTGGAAGTAGGGTAAATGAGACAGTCATTGGCCAGTTAAGGATAGTTCTTGTCTTCATGCTATTCTTATTTAAGACCAGTTAATACAATATTCTTAAAAATGTTGTTCTAAATAGGTACTTTTAAGCATAAACTTGCGATAGTTTTTCTAGCTCATGTAAATGTCTCTTTAAGTTCCCCAAAATTATTAGTCTCAAATTAACAGTGATGTTTCTCGACCAGCCATCGGAATTACAAATATAGCTTACTCAGTAATATGACATTGGCAGTTATTATTCCCATGTAAATAATAAAATGTTTTATAAGTGCATTTAATTAATATTGTAGTAAATTCTTCTGAAATTATCATTTTTACCTGTTGATAATTTGAAAACAAATACAATTAAGTAACACACATCAAAAAAAAAAAAATTAACGTTATATTATTTTTTGTTAGAATTTGCCAGACTTACTGAGCCAAGGTCCAACTCTGGACCAACTCCTACAACAGTTTCAACAGGATGATCAATATGTACCAGGCGAAAGCATTATTATTGATTTAATTATGCTTTTTGTCAGAAACCTGACACTTGTGTAAGTCAAAAAACTCCATAAGCACCTTTTATTTTGACCTGTCTTGAATTTTATGTTTCCTTTTTTAGGGACACATTCTCATTGTATAGTGGCAATGTTGAACCAATAAATAGAAATATTAGCGAAATTCAAAATTTCTTCAGAACTAGAATCTGTGAAGGCGACACATCCCCAGCTGGCATTGATAGGGGTGTAGAAAAACTTATTAGAGAAATGCAACCGTTTTTGGAAAATTTCGTAAGATTATTTTTACTTTTCTTTATTTGCTTATTTTAGGTTATATTTCTTATTTCAGAGGTCCTTACCTGTGCAAAATGATATAGATATGGTCAGATCTGCAGAGCAATTGTTTAGACAGAGGTTGCCAAACATAATTATCGTTGCAAATAATTTAAATACTAATACAACACGTATGCTAATTGACCAATGTATAACTACTGCAAAACAACTTTTAGCATTGACTCTTTTAGCCAGTTCAACTGGTCAAAGGGGTGTAGAACAGGTTTACGAGCAGATAATGGTAATGTTTATTGAAAAATGTATCCATTTTTTTAAATTTATTTTTATTTTCAGACTAATTTCTTGAGAGATATCCCCCAAGATATACAAAATTGGACCCTTATGACAAGTCGAGTCCAGTTTAGGCAAATTCTGTCTAATCTGAGTATACCAGAAAGTATTTTACAACCTTATATTGTTCATAAACCTATCCAACAACAAACTCGTCCACAGCAACACCCGCCTCAACCGGCACAACAACCACTGCAGCAACAATCTGTGTTTTCTACTAACCCAGACCCATTGTCTCATGATTACAATGAAATAGAGGTACTATATGTATTTTTTTTTATTTATTTAAGTTTCAAATAGTACTTTATTAACAAAGAGCCTTTTAAAAAATAATCATAGATAGTTTTTTTCAAGTTACAATCTTAAATCAAACTGTTTTCCTTTTAGTTAATGGATGTTGATGTACAAGATGTACGAACTGAATTAAATGCATCCATAATTGTATCGGATAATGAACCATTGCCAAATGTAGTTATAGGATCTGAACCTTGGCATGGACAAGTTCCGGAGGTAAATTAATATTCCTTTTATTGTATTAATAATATCTAAAAATTATTCAAAAACTTTAAAATATTTATTCATACAGTGATTAGGAACTGTCAGTGATAGACAGCATTTTTGGCAATAGGTGTTTCAAAAATGTGATAGTCTAATGAGTATCAAAGTAGTTTGCAAATTTTCAGAAGTGAATGATTTCATAATCAATACAAACGTCTTCACTTTTTTGCTCAAATAACTACTATATTTCAGATAAATTCGACTATTGCTGGTAAAAAAATGGTACAAAAACAAAGTAACGTGTCAAAATTTTAGTACAGGTTTCAATTTATCTCATAAGCATTTTTTAACTAGTTTCTGAACTTGAGCTCACTATTAAACAGTGACAAGAGATTACCTATAAAGTTACTTCCCAATAACTTCCCATAACCTATCATCATACAAATAAATTAGTAGCCATAATGGATTTTGTATGTTTCATTAAGATTTTTATGTAATTTTCCTTTCATCACATTTGATTGAACTCATATAATATGGCGTTAGTATTGTAATTGTTCAATGAACTTATTCCAGAGTGTATATTATTTTCAAAGTATGGTTAAAACTGGCATAACATATTAGTTGTTTTGGGGTAAAAAATGTTACATAGTTTTTGTAATAATTCTGGAATCATGATTAAGTTTTAACAAACAAATAAGCAGTGGTGTTTTATTTTTGAATGTCCTCTTTGAAAACATTTTTTTATCACTCCATGCCATTATCATTTAAATATTCAACTCCCTAGATACACTTTTCTCTAAACACTTTCCAACAATTGAAGAATTTGTATGTGACACCTTTATCTGTTTTACAGTTCTATTTTTATTTGTTTGCTGGAAAATGCCCTTATCAGTAGCCATTTAGAATGTCTCATTACAAGTAAAATATATAGCACTGGACTTCTCGCTGTTTAGATTTCATTCCTTGATTATTTCAATTTTGATTTTAATCTCGGTTAGGCTCCCATTTATCAGAATTATTACCCTTTCTCTAATAATTGATGTCTGTCTGGAGTACTACATGCCACAGTTAGAATGTATTATTGGTCTTACAGCACACAAAGTTGCCGCTTACGTCAGACTTCTGGGAGGTTTGCGATAGTTCGGAGGTTGTTTGTGAAAACAGGAGTGTACTCTCTTCATTGAATAAATGTACCAGTTAATAAAAATCATCTTTTAAAACACACTAAATACATGCATTTAATACACAAGAACAAATGGAATGCATTATGTAATACAGTATAATTAAAAAGAAATGTTTAGTAATACATTTTTTCGTGGTTCATTTTAATCGCAATCCATATCTATGTCATTTTGGTCATCAGAATTCACCTAAATGATTTATTACTGGTTTAATATCTTATTCCAAAATCTTTCTTTTGACTTTTTTGACATGGTTGACGTAATTATCTACTGGTCCTTTGTTACAAGTTTCTAACTTTCTTTAATCAAACGTTATCTTTGAAATCGGTGTTGTTTAAAGCTTCACACCTTTTCACTTTGCTCCATTTCATTTCAATTGGATTTAGCTTGCAGGGGTAGTCTCAAAATCACTTTTTAAATAATATATTTTTTTTCTGGAATGGTACGTTTCATTAACCAAAACGTTTTCTTTCGTTTGCTAACTTTAGTATTAAGATGTTCTCAATCCAACCTTCTTAATATTATGTCACCGTCCATTTCGTCGTAATTCGCTGTGCCTTTTTTGGCAAAAAAAAAAAAATTTTTGGTCTTCCCCCGAAATCTTTACTTTCCATTAGTTTGTTCTTTTATATAGTGTTTTTAGTACCCCACTAGACCAAAAAATAAAACAAAGGTTGCATTACGTTTTTGACATCAGACATAAAATATTTTTCTTGGTATTAGGAATGCACCTACGTTTAGTAACTAAAAATTATTATAACAATTATTGAAACTTCTAGTGGGCTACTAAAAACACTCAAAAGTATTTTTCTACACCCACATGAATATTAGCTTATCTACGTCCAGATTACAAAACGAAAAAATATGCTATTGTGTTCAACTGAACGAATATATTTCATATCCATTCTAGGTAGTAGAACACTGCAAAAAAGTGAAATCCACCAATCACAGTTCATATTTTGGACAACCAACTACTATTTTAAAATTTTAAACAAGTGACAATTCTGTCAAATTAATTGTCAGTATATTTTTTAGTTATTTAAATTAAATGTACATAATGATTTATTTTTATGTAGAATCGAATAATATAACATTTCAATTTTTATTTGGTCCACATTTTGAAAAAAAAAAAAATTAAATTTTATTCAAACTAATTTAATTACGAGTATTAAAACTAAAATCATAGATGTGGCCGTGGAGGTATGGACAGGGCATCTGTCTTCCACGAGAATAGCCCGGATTCGAATCTGTGCTCGGGACGAATTTTTTAAAAATTTGTAAAATTCATAACTTTTGTCTTACTGACCTACAATAATTTTTTAAATTTGTAGATTTTTGTTAGTAGGTCGTAGAAAAAATATACTGCACAACTCGAGTGTATTGTCCATATCCACTCTTGTTGCACAAACTACCATTTTAATCATGTTTTTTTGAAAGTAGAACCAATATTGGTCCAATATTTCTTCCTCACTGTTTTTTTTTTGTCTGAGGAACTTGTGTCTCCTGGATATGCTATCCTTTTTTCCATCATAAGCAATGTGAACCTTTTTTAACCACATAGATATTTTTTAATTCGGATTTGTGCCTTTTCTCATTTAAAGTACGTTACCATATCCTACTTGCACTGTACAGTAGCAGTCTAAACTTACATCAACGTTGACTTTCACTGCACACGAAGGAAAACATTTGGTATGTCAGAGGTGTAGAAATGAAAATAACCTTATGATCGATAATACAGTGAGCGGATATGTATATTGTTTGATATTACATTTAATAAACTAATATAAATATATGTTTAGGATTGGGTACCTATTATAACAAGAGATGCACAAAAACAAAGAAGACAAAATCCTCAAGGACCATTTAGTGATGCTTACCTATCAGGCATGCCTAGTAAAAGAAGAAAAATTGTCAATAACTCCAAACCTCATGGTAGTCTTCCACAAGTAATTTCAGGTAACGTTAATATTAATATTTAGAAAACAATATATTATGAAGCAACCTATTAAAAAGACATATATCGAACACGCAATGTTGAAATATTTAAGAATTTGTTTTTTTTATATATTCTTTAAAAAACTTCATTGAACAGTAAAATAAGTGTAATGCTTCCAAAGTTGTAAATTGTTTATCGAAAGTACATCTAACAAAATGCATTAAATTTCAGAAAGTGTTAGACAGGCAGTTACAGCCAGTGGATTAACCTCTGTAGCTCCTTTAGAAGTAGTAGCGCAAGCAGCAGGTGCTTCATCTGAAATACAGAACGCTTATAGAAATCTACTTCGCTCTACTGTGCAAACAAATCTAAAGGACAATGAAGACTTTCACCCCGAACGCTATCCTAACGTTTCAAATTATTTTAATAGCAGTTCACAATGATGTCTAAGTATACACAGTAAATAACACTATCGGTTGTATCGTTGTTTATGTAAAAATAAATTAATAAATTATTTATCACCAGGGTTTTATTATTGTTTTAGGATCTACATTTTTCAATTTTCATGTTATTTATCCCAAATCTCTCATTTCATTCACATCCAAAATTTTGAAAACAATAGATAAAGCTAAAAAGTGTCTATACCACACAATCCGAAAAGGAGGTAAATCTGGTAAAATTTAAGTTGAGCATATCTACCTTAACAGATTTCATTTTCCTAAATAATCCATGTTCTAAACATGGTATGATAAATGTTGACCATTTTACAAATCACCGGTTAGCATACTGTATAGATATTCAGAATTTAGATTTATCTTTCACTAATGACCTCGAATAACGTCAGGTGGCACTTACTAATGCTGCGTTTGAAAAGTAACTCGTTTTGCTTTTTTCCTTGATACTGCCCTTTTTTCTCTGTTTGCTCCATTGATATGGTTTGCTCGATGTCACGTGGCCAAAAAAAAATTACTTGCTCTGCTCGAAGAGGTACATTTCAAACGTACATAGCAATATTATATGCGAATGACATCGTTAGCAAAATTAAATATTTAACCACTTACATTCACTCTCTGTTTGACAAATGTTGTCCTTATCGTGTTGCTCGTATAAGCAAACCTAAAGCTCAATGGCTCACCCCAACTGTTAGACTTTTATTCAGAGAACGAAAAACTACTAGACTAATCCATTTATTCATAATTAAGCCCTTATTTATTGCAATCATTCGATTTGTTTTTATTATTACGCAGACAGCTGTGCATCGCCTGCCGTATTAGAAAGGAGACAGCTGCTAATTTGAGTGGGGATGGTTTGCGCAGATATATTTATTTGAGAAGTGATCATGCGTTTTACGAATGAATCAGTATTTACGTCTACTAAGCTTGCTTTACACTGCTGTAATACTTCAAAATTAATTGCGTACTTTCCTGAAAAACATTATATAACTATAATAAAGAAAAATATACCTTACACTGATAATAACTGACATTAAGAATGCAAATTTACTTCTCTAATGTAATTTTAAAAGTTTTGTGCACTTTAGAGTCTTATGTTTAGTCAATACCGAATTATGACCATAAACAGTCTTTGAACTAAGACTCTCCCATAGAATCTCATAATAATTTGACTACGTTGATTACACTGTGAATGTTTGCAATTCGATTTATGTAAAAAAAAATAGTAGTTTTTCGTTATTGATATCCTGCTGTAGAAAAAATAAATGAAGATTTACACAAAATTAAAGAAAACCGCCAAGCAATATATTCAAAATCATGCTTCCTTAAATTTAAAAATTTCTGCAGCATTCCTCATGTCTTATCTATGAGGCAAAACTTTTGGATTTATTTGATGAATCAAACGGATTTGATAAAAATTCAAACTATATTTTGCAACAAGCCTACAATGCAGAGCTGGGTAATTCCTAGTTTAAAATTAATTATAAATACTTTTTTTTCATGTAATTTGTAATTATTGTATTTAAGTACTTTTTTTCTTAAGTAGTTTGTAATTATAATAGTATGAAGTTTTTATGGGGTTGATTAAACGGCACCAGACTAATGTTTGCTGATTTTTATGGTATAATTACAAAAGTACCTAGGCCTAGGTACACAAACTTTGTATTTTTGTTCCGAATCAATAAACCTTTAAAGGCTCACATTTTATTATTAACGTCCCTGTTCTATTTTTTACATTACTTGTTATGGATTTTGTACTTTCTCTCAAGTTAAGGAGACCTTAAATGGCATAGAAAACAATACGCTTAGGGCTGGTTGTATATAAAGCTTACATAAAGTTATGCTCAGGTGATACACATGTCAATTTCCGAACTATTGGTGCAGTCTAATGTTTGGGGAAACAAGCCCTAAGTGCTAAATGGTGTTTAGACTGTACTATATGCCATACAAAATTTGTCATGTCACCTCAAACCGAGTTTAACTTTAAGTAGGTTTTATACAATCTGCCCTTAAGATATCTTTAACTCAAAGGACTGCTTAAGAAAGTCGCTGCAAACGACTGTTAGTTGAACACTGAATAACCTATTTAAAATTTTTATACGTACCGGTCCGCGGTTGGTTCATGGTTCCTCAATTCTATAATAATTTGTTGTTTTATCCGCAAAGTAATTGATAATTCCTTTTTCCAAGTAATTGTAATTAAATCAGTATAATTCCTATTTTTTCAACATGTACTTGTAATTAATTCCTTTTTGAAAAAGTACTTTGTAATTGTAATTATTTTTAAAGTACACGTTATTACCCAGCTCTGCTACAGTGCATTTACGTCTGCTCCATGCTAACAAAGTACTTCCGAGATAATTGCTTTTTAAAAAAATCCTTTAATTTATACAAAATTCATGTTGTAGGTTCATCAATAACCTTAAAAAATGTAATCGTATTTCTTTTGAATTTTCCTTGGCAGTGTGGTTAAATAGTGGTTATTCTGTGGTTAAATGTTAATCATTTATTCCAATGTCCATTTTTAACTTGCAGAAAACACCAAACTGTAGGTTGACAAATTTTCTGTATTAGTTTCCATAATATGTACGATGTAAAAGTCAAGAAAGCACGCGCAACAATGAACTGTCATCTCACTGCGCATGTCTAAGCTTACTCAACTGTTGCCGCCTGGTGAACGCACCCAGATAAACCTGTATGACATTTCATCCCCTTCCACCTCTCTGGAATAAAATATTCTATTAAAATTGTAAATTAAAATATCTCAAAAAATAATAACCTATGTAAATTGTAACAATTTTTATTCTCAAATAAAAATTTTCTTTTCGTTCATTCCGTTTCAAGGTAAACGTAGATTTTTTTATATTCTAACATATCGTATACTACATTAAAGATTCATTTCACCACCGTTTAAAAGCCGTTTCATTTTATCGGGAAGAATATGTTTGTAAAATATTTTGCGTTTGTCCGAATTTTGATTTAGTTTTTTTTTTAGTACCGTGATGTTAAAATTTAATTAGATTATTGCAAATACTTTAAAATTAATAAATCCCTGTACACTTGTACATTCAGGGATTCACTTTATATAAAATAAACTACTCTGCTGGGTGCGTATGCTTGAAAACGAGAGAAAGTAAAACTCTCCGGGGAATATATTCACTTTATTTTCACTTTCCTAAAAATTGGTATTCTCGAAATAACGTGAAAGCCAAGGGAGGAGTAAAGTGGATGGTGAAAATAAATACAGAGTTGCCAGATCGTTCTAGATCATCCGACCAATTAAAAACTAAGGTCTGTTCGGGTTCTTCAAAAAAACATTGAGAACTATCAGAGTACTAGTTGACCAGTGGACAGTTTAATAGTTGTACGTGACGAATAATTTGAATTTCAACTGGTTCTCGGACGGTTTGCATCGAGTTTTAAAGAAACCCGAACAAACCTACTATATCGATTTTGAGATTTTATAGTTACCTATAATAAAATTAAAAACGGATACTTCTCCTTCTCATATATAAACATTTTAAAATGATTATTGTTCATTAAGCATAATATAAATGCACTTTGTAAATGGTCTTTTTTTTTTTTTTCATAATTTTCAAACTAGAAATTCTAATCCTTTAAGGCCGCAGTATCACTGTATTTTTCATATAAGAAGCAAGGGTTCACCATTTCCGATTGCATTTAAATCCCGCTAAATGTATTAAAATGAATCTTCTACCAGCTTAAAGTATAAGGTTTGGAGAATGAAATCTATTTTTTATGTGTCCTTTTTATACACTGAATTTAAAAAAAAAATCATAAAAAGTGATTTTAAAACCAGAGGCTAAAAAGTAGGAGATTTCATTCTACATATTTTTCTAAGTATCCCGCCAAAAGATTTCTAAATTTTATTGCGTATTTTTTAAATCTAACTGGAAATACGATTAACAAATATTTGATAAATTTATTTGTCAAATTAGAGATTTTCTATGAATTCCTGTAATTGTGTATAGTTCATCTATTTTTAAGAATATGTCACCGTAAAAAACACTAGCTCTACTTTGTTTTAGAGATGGTTTTAATAGGTAAATGATTGTTTAGAGGTACCAATTTTTGAAACAGTGATACAGTTGTATGCCGTCTTTTATTGTTTCGTGATTTTCATATATATTTGTCTCGTTTGGTTCCAAATTATCGATTGATTTTGACTGTGTATGAACAAGTGTTGCCCACGTTGCCAGATTATCGATTTATACGATAATTTCACAATTCTTTCTAGGACGAATTTGATTTTAAAGTGGGTGAAATATACAATGGTGAAATGCAGGAAAGGGAAGGAACTTTATTGCATTCCGATGTAATTTAAATCCGAATGACCTGGCATCATTGTATGATACGCACGTAATATTTGCGTACTTTGCTTTCTTCTTCTGAATGTTATTTTATGTTTATAAGGAATCTTATTTCTGAGTTAACACGTTGACTGCTATGTGTATGTACCCATGTGTATGTCCCATTAGTGCGTAATTGTTCAATATTTTAATTTATGTTAAAGACACGCAAACATGTTTCAAAGAAAAGTTATATGGATTTAAAAAATACATATTTTAAAAATATTTTTAGATATATACAGGGTGCTACATTTTTGCTTGGCATATTTTTAAAATAGAACATGTATTTTATTTCAATTTTAGAATGGTTTGGTAATACTGTATTCAACCCTAGAATAATTTAAAAAAATATTACAGGTCTGCCAAGCAATTACATTTTTATAAAATTAGAAAATGATGCAGACCCCAAGTTAAATTATCATAATTTAGGTAGGATTACATTGATTTCAAAATTGTTTAATATACTGACTTATAGCACATTAAGATAACGAATAGTAGTGATAGTGCTGGATTCTTTTATAGCGAGTGTTTTGAAACATGTCTTAAATATGGTTACTTTTATTACTCAATTTTTTCAAAGGCAGCATTTGATATAATATTTTAGCATACAATTCCTTATAAATTTGCATATCCAACGATACCAACATGTTAGAGAATAACATATATACAGAGTGTCTCATCAGTGCGTAATTGATCGATAGCTGTTTTATTATTAGAAATAAAAAATTAATATAAAAGTTGTATGACCATATTTAAAAATTATTCCTATATATACAGGGTGGTCCATAAATGAGATGTTGACCAAACCTATACATTTTTAAATCAAAACACCCTGCAGGTAGTTATACATATTTGATTATTTTCACGTCGTCAAATAATTTTAATTGACTTCATTCATTTGCTATGTTATATATAGGGTGTGTCAACACGCGAGGTTA